GGAAGGCAGCTGTAGATCACACTCTAGCTCTTGTTGGTCCCAGATCATGTTCTAGATAACTTTATCATTCTATACTGGGTTCCAGGTCACTTGCTTGTTTCAGAGCAGGATCATCTTGGCTCACTTGTTGTTTCAGGACTGCATCTTGGTTCCAGATCATGTTCTAGGTAACTTTGTGGTTCTAGGTCAGCACATGGTTCCACAGCAGGGTTGGGTTTGGGGGGGAGAGGTGGGTGGTGGTCCTAGAACCTAATTCAGAGGGTACTCCTCTGTTTTTTCATCTCATGAGGATTTGGGGTACTTGCTGTGTTTCCTATCACACATCATCGCCACCAAACCAACCGCACAGCTTACTGACAGCTGGCTCTTTCCATGCTCTCCTCCTCCTCCTCCATCTTAAATTTACAGTAGTTTCAAAGTCACTGATCTAGAGAGAAGGAAAAAGCTCTGGGTTTCAGTCCAGAGACTCACACTGCACATATGGCTCAGTGTCCATTTGTCCATTTGCAGCATCCTCCCCAGTAGAGCGGTAGGTGTCTGCCTCCTCTAAGCTCTTGTGGTCTCTGCAGGTTCAAACTACTGCAGGGAAGGAAGAAGCTGGCAGCACGTGCAAGATCAGTTTTAATACAAGAGCCCAAACACGCCTGGCTTACTGAGGCAGGCTTCAAAAAGATCGGTTTTTGCTTTGGTTCTGTTTTGAGTTCTTTGTCTGTGTTAGTTTGGTTGAGTTTTTTAAGACAATCACCTGGGTGGTTACAAATTCTGAGTGCTTAATCAAGTCCTGAGCTGCAGACTTGGGTGCTGCTGCTGTGCTAACATTCAGCATGTAATCTGCCCGGGATCTTTACGGCTGCAGACTTGGGTGCTGCTGCTCTGCTAGCATTCAGCATGTAATCTGCCCGGGATCTTTACCTCAGTCTGTGTGGCAACTGACGAGTCAAAACAAGCAGACTACCCTCCAGAAGCCCGGGAAGATGCCACTTTTCAAGAACGACAGCTCTTGCTTTTCCTCTGCCAAGACACCAAAACAGACTGCTGGACAGATACAATAAATCACAGGGGGAGAAGCAAACAAAAGGTGTTTTTATTATTTAAAAAGAATGATAATCCAAACTACTCTTTCCATCTGGGTCCTAACTGGAAAAGGAGACAATATCACAGTTAGTCACCGTCTACTCAGCACTTTACCCAGGAAGTATGATCTAAGAGAGAACCAACATGCGTTCACACATCTGAGGACAGTGGGGAATAAACAGCTCCTGCAACAGACGCAACCCCTGGAATCTGCATACTTGCACAATTTGCTCTGATTTGCAACTCTGACAGTTTTAAGTGTCTGCATATCCATCGTACGTGACGAAACTCAGCAACAAAGGCAGACCACAAGAAAGCGTGTTTGATCTCATGCATTTTTTTTTACATCTAGGTGTAAATGCAAAGTAAACACACATCTCCTTCATTTTACCACTGTGAGGCCCTGAACAACTGCTCAAATCGTAGTATCTTCGTGACAGCACAGGTGCTTCTTGCCAGGCAATAGCCCACATCGTTAGAACGCAATAACACTAAATCCCCAACAAGACAGCAGAGATGGGAACAAAAATTAACTGTGAGCAATGGTCAGAGACGCCAGACACCACATGGCCCCTTCTGACGTGAAAAATGCTTGGTCAGGAGGTGCCAAGCACATCCAGTGCTTTTCTGAGCTCCCGGGGGTACCAAAGGCATCATGCAGGAAATGCTCTTTTTCTCTCAGCCTCAGATCCAGCATGTCAGAGAAGAATAACACGTTAAAAGGCAGCTCACACCCATCTCTCACACCCTTTGTACTCCCAGAGGTCAGACGCAGCAGACATCTGCACTAATTTCTTTGTAAGAGTAGCGAGGAAAAGAATGATACCGGAAAGCAGATGGCCACCATCCTCCACGTACTTAATGAATCAAAAATTTCCCTTTGCTCACACTAACTTTAGCTTTCTAAAGACAAACTGCCAGTTTTCCTCCCTTCCAAGTACCTCTTTCTGCTTTTGAAGTGTTTTGTACCATTTCCTGCACAGCACTCCAACCAGCTGAAGTAAATGTCTCTACCAAGAGGGTAGGGAGAAGGAAATAATATTTAAAGAACATCAAAGGACAGAGGAATCACATTAAAACAGTGCTGAAAATTACACTGGGGTATGCCTAAATACTTAGGCATTTCTTGCCATTGAAATCTAAACAAACAGAAAGCAATATTAAAAAATACCACCTTATTCCAAAACTACATTTTTTATATACACAAAGGCACTAGACAAATGCTGCCATAAGAGTTCTTTACAAGAAAAAACATTTACATTTAGTAAAGCACAATTGGGAAGTTAAGGTCGCACTTCCAGTTCTGACTGCTGATTGTCATTCTCAGCCCCAGCTCAATCTGTAGATGCAGCAACTTGTGAAACGTGCACACTCCCTAAGCAATTCACAGGGCATTGATTATCAAAGCATAAAACTCACTTCCTGGCTTGGCAAGGAGCGAGGCCCTTCAATCTTTGTGTCTGCTTGAGATTAGCAACACAAGCAGAATCAAAATGTGCTGGATTGCAAAAACCACGTGCACCTCACCGGAATCACCAGCACAACGATCATGCAGGGGGGTGCTGCCTTCCCACTTCCAACGCGATGGGCACGCGATGCTGACTGCAGATCCATTCTTTAGATGCAAGGTATCTCTCGATCCACACAAGCTACAAAGAGCGAAGACTGCCTCTGAGCTACACCCTCAGTGTTATCAACGCCTAACCAAGTTCTTTGTGTCTGCAAACTTGTCTATTCTCAGTGATCCTCACATTTAACCATGCTCAAGCTTCTCATGCAGAGGCAAGAAGTTAACTGTTGTTTTAAAGGCTCCTTAGGAAAGCTGATTTATTATAGCCACATTTACCAGTTTGAAAGATAAAGAAGAAAAAACATACATACTTCCTTACAGCCAAATCCTCACTCACTTGCCAGTTCCATTGAGTTTCAGGACTGGAAGTTTCCTAGAGTGCAAGACTTCAGACGTTGCTTCCTGAGTGACCATATGAGCCTCCCTTAACACTTCGGATGCCATCAAACCAGAATACTGCAAATCTTGCTCAACACCACCCCTCTGACAAATGCAATTATATTTTTGTGTAGCTGTGCTGTGCTGTCATTTCATCACCACATTCAAGCCCAGCAGAACAGAGATGTGTGTTTCTACAAAGTTGAGAACCTCCACTGCCTGGGCTCTGGCCACCAAACCTGTATCACTACTGAGCTTTCATCCTACATAGCCCTGTCCAACTCAGTCAGCATTTAGCATTGGAACCCCCTCTGTGCAAAAACACAACATTGCTCTATGAATCAGGTCCTAAGCAAGAGCCGTTTGAAAACACATAATAAATTCTCCTGACAGAGACCTCTCTCCAAAACCAACAGCAATAACTGACAATGTAGGACAAGAGACTTCACAAAGGTGGAGTTTCAGAGGAGGGAGAAGGTGGCACCACAGGAGTCTTCTCAAACTCAATGCTGATGAGTACTGAGACATGGCAATGTTTTCAGGTGCATAACCCAACCACATTCACTTTTACATTAAAGTTAGAAATCAAGAACAAGGGAACAGACTGATGCTACTTTTTGCACAATTCAGTTGAGTTGTCAAAGCAACAATTAAAACCAACTTGAACAACTCTGCTTATGTCTCTTCTTGTCAAAACTCAAATAACAGCAGCCTTGAAATGTTGGTTTAGGGAGCTATTCTTTAAACAAATGAAGGCCACCTTATTTACCATGTGTAATAGTTACATGAAGGTTTGTAGAGTCAGCTCTGTAACACATAGGCTACTTCACTTAACTTCGTTTTCTGTTTAGTCTTGCTGATTAATTCTCCATCTCCAGAATAACTCTAACTCTTGCATCCCAACAAAGTGTAACTACATGAATACAAACTTCTCAATCTGTCACATAGTAAAGCGAGCATTTTCCCAAGAGACCACAGCACAGCCTATTAACATATCTCCATTTACAGTTTCAATACCATTGTGGAAAAGAGAAAAAAAAAGCCTTTGAGGATATTACAGTCCAAACACCACTACAAGTGTTGTGAGTTGCAATTTCTTTCAAGCAGTGGGGCTAAAACCACAACTCAGTCTTAGAGCCGGGACTTAACACAAAGCTACTGTCCTCTGTCAGCACCCTGTACTGCCTTCAGCAGCTCAGCCCAAGGAGCCCACATATTGCAAAAGCTGGAATGCAGTAGGCTGAGCACCCAACGGATCAGCGGCCAATTTCTTACATTTGTGCATCATGAAAGACTTCAGATTTTACATCAAATCTCATGTACTGGAAGGTACAGAAGGAAGGCAGAAGGAACGACAGAACTTGCCAATCTCAGAACAGCCAGACAGTTCTTTCAGATGCCCATGGCTGGCTGCTGACCTCCTCCAAGCCCTTAGACAAACAAAAGCTAACAGAGAGCCATTTAACAGCAGACACAAAGTCCCACTTCCTAGCTCTCTACAGTGCTCACCTTCAACATTCCAAAAAGCAAGAAATCAGCTGGAAAAAGTTCCCTGCCCTCATGCCACAAAAGCTATTATTACACATTTTTAGGATGGTTAATACAGTGGAGATCTGCTGCTGCCAAAAAGACAACAATCCTGTTCTACACACAGACAGATCTGGCAAGTGGCATGAGTTTCCTCCTTGCTTAGCAAGAAGTCAACGTATTTGTCAGAGCCAGAAGCTTCTTGGTCAGAGAAGCAAAAACATGCATGCACACACACCTGAGGAGAGGGTGTTTCGCATCTGTAACACAGACTGAGCTCAGGAGGAAATCCTAGCAGCTGTAGCATCAATCTTCCCCATGCTCACCCTTCTGCCAACGGTGAGTTGCAAGTTGGATCCTGGACTCCTCGCCACTTCAGGCAACATCATTGTCTGTTTGTCATAGTCTGACCCCCTTTCCATATGCCAACCGATGGCGAACCAGATAAAAATGCAACAAGCCCTTCATTTTGACCATTTGCCACGACGATGTCCATGTTAGAAGGGGACCAGATGTGAAGAACCCCACATGCTCTGCATGTCCTGAAATGCTGAGACCCGCCGAGGGTTGTTCACAAAGGAAAGCCCAGGATAGGGAGCGGAAAAATCAGGGCCCGAAGAAGAGCAATACAGATAAAACCGTCCCACAGGGTTCAGGGCAACAGAGGCGTGTGGATAGCATTGCAAGGGAGAAGGTTCCTAACCTCGGTAGCTGCACGGCAACGGGCACATCCCCAGTTCTGCAGCACGGGGGAAGGTACCAAGATCCAAAGAGGGGGGAAAAAGGAGGGAAAAAAAAAACGGGAAAAGCCCAAGCCCGGCAGGACGCGGCCGGGCGAAGCAGTCCCGGCGCGGAGGCGGCCCTTACCGTAGACCAGCTTTTTCATCTCGTGGTACCTGGCCCACAAGTAGGTCTTGGTATCGGCTCCCTCAGCCGGGAGGGACTGGCTG